AAGAATATAGAATATAAAGAATATAGAATATAAAGAATATAGAATATTTAGAATATTTGAAATTAAGAAATATTAAGAATTAAATATTGAATTTAGAATAAATTTTAAATAGCATTTAAAAACGATGATGAAATAGCATTTTTTACCCAACTTTGAAAAGGAGAAAGTTACTCTATTCGACATGTATATTTCTTTTTTTTTTATTCGAAGCTCCTCTAACCTAATACGTAAAATAAAATAAAATAATTTTAAAATTCAAGTAAGCATATTCAATGTTTTTTTAAATTTGTTTGATGAAGCATATAGAGGAGGATTACTACAGGGTCATTACTCTGTTGTTAGCAATCCGATCGAAAATGTTTTCATCGGCTTTTGCATGGTTTCAAGAGACGTTTAACGTGATTATGAAAAAAAATATTTGTCAACTATTATTTTTATGCCTTTTTTAAATCACTTTGAATTGTTTTCAAGTAAATATATAATTCTTTTACGCCTATCTGTTAGAGGATTTTAAGACGTGTACAATGAGCTATGTATGGATGAAGGTCATTCAAGGTTACACAAACTGACTGTAATAGAAAATAATAGAAAAAAACTGTTTCAAGGCACTCGTCAAATATTTCATTAATTTTCGTATCTGCGTACTTATTGCTATAGCAAATGATGAACTTGAAATTGGATGTATTTTCAAAAACGTGTTAATGTAGAAAACACTGCAACACGAACTTCATCTTCTTCGGTTCGTCAAGTTAAGACTTGGATTGTATTATTCAGATACATTATAATTAAGCTCAGGTATAATTAATTAATTTCGTATATATAGATACATTGTAATTTCCATCATGTTGAGACTCGATTTATACTATTCAGGTACATTATAATAGAGACAAGGTGTAATTTATTAATATCGTATATGTAGATATATATATTGCAATGTTTATCAGGTTGAGACTTGGGTTATGTAGTTAGATAAAATTTAAAATTTTATTTAAATTATAATGTGAATTGTAATAGAGATCTGGTTGAAGCCTTGTAGGGTTCCTAATTGAACCTAACAGAATCCATGTTCATCAGGTTGAGACTTCCATTATGTATTTAGATAAAATTTCAAATTTTATTTGAATTATAATTTAAATTAAAATAGAGATTAGGTTAAAGACTTGGAGGATTGCTAGTGTAGCATAACAAAATGACAAGTAAATATTTCTCTACTTAACCTAGAATTATAAATGTGTGAATGTAAAGGCAAATTATTAATTTCTGCACTAACACTTCAGTTTCTGAATTCCTTTGTCTCCATAATTCGTTACGAATGGGTCTGTTGCTTCTAGACACTTCATGTAGGCTGTCAAATTGACATAATCTGTCGGACACTAAAGGATTCTTCTAGAAAGAAAAACCAATTGCGTTTCTTCATTAGCAGACATCAAGAGATCATCCACTTTACAGAGAGAATTGAAAAATTGTTCACGTACATAGCGCTCAGTCAACTTGTGTCCAACACTCTAATCACCTGCTGTTTAGGATTCCTCATTATGGTTGTAAGTATAGTGGACGAGTTTCCACTTGCAAATATGTAAATTATGTAAAACTAATTTCAAATTGCAGTCGTTGAACGCTGAAAATGGACTTCCTATACTGATCAAATCCATCATGTTTTATCTTTCCATTTGTTTAGAAGCGTTTATTTATTGCTTCGCTGGGGAATACCTCAATACCAAGGTTACCTAGTGTACTTATCATTTAAAATAATTCATGTTTGATACTATGTCTTTTGTTAATAATATAGAAATCAAAAACTAAAATACTTCAATTTAGGTGATACATATATAAATAAACAAATCAAAAAGAACTGAGAATCATGCTTGTAGTTGGATGCGTAGCAAACATTTTTTAGCAATTTTTATCGACAATTCTTCTTCATATTTTGTTACTAAAATCTGTGTTGTTTACTTCCAGAGCAAAATGATTGGTGACGCGGCATATGACTCACTGTGGTATGACTTATACCCCAGTGAAAATCGATTGTTAGTCATTTTAATACTGAGGTCACAAAAAGGACTCACTCTTACTTTTGGGAAATTTTCGAAACTGTCTTTGGAAAGCTTCACGGGGGTAAGAACGCTCAAATACTATACAGGGTGTCCCAAAAATGTTGCAAGTCCTTGAAAGGGGTGGTTCGGGAAGACACAATTCTCTTCTGAAAATTGTGAAATATTTCATACCAAATAATTATAATCGTTGATTATGCAGGGTGTCCTAAAAATGTTGGAGGTCCTTGAAAGGGGTGGTTCGGGAGGTGATTTGAAACAACTTTTTCCTTAGCGAAAATGTCGTCCGAAGCTTCGTTGAGGAGATATCAACGAAAAACACTGACCAATCAGAGCACGCGTATACCATTGGAGCGGGCGCGGTAGCGAAGGCTACGTGCTAGGCGGTAGCGCTGATACGCTACTGCGGGCGTTCCACCGGAATCCGCGCGCTCTAATTGGTCGATGTTTTCTGTTAATATCTCCGCAACGAAGCCTCGGACAACATTTTCGCTAAGGAAAAAGTTGTTTCAAATTACCTCCCAAACCACTCCTTTCAAAGTGTTACAACATTTTTGGGACACACTGTATATACAGGGTGGAAGTGATTTGAAACAACTTTTTCCTTAGCGAAAATGTTGTCCGAGGCTTCGTAAAAGAGATATTAACAGAAAACCCCGACCAATCAGAGCGCGGCCGCCTACGCTACTGCGGCCGCTCCACCGGTATACTCGCGCTCTGATTGGTCGGTGTTTTCTGTTAATATCTCTTTTACGAAGCCTCGAACAACATTTTCGCCAAGTAAATAGTTGTTTCAAATCACCTCGCGAATCACCTGTTCCAAGGAGTTACAACATTTTTGGGACACCCTGTATAATCAACGATTACGATTAATTGATATGAATTATTTCCCAATCTTCAAAAGAGAATTGTGTCTTCATTTTCATACTAAAATACCAATAAGGTGTTTTTTTTTCGTGAAATTAACCCTTTGCACTCGGGTGGCGCCTCTAGAGCGACATATGTAATTTCAAAGTGATTTTGTGAACGTACAATTTCAAATTCACTTACATCAGAATACAACTAATTAGTAATTGGAATAATAATACATGGAGTCATGAACGTTCGTAGATGTTTTTCTTCGAAGTAGAGTTTTTGGTTTCATAGAAATTTATTATGAAAATGGACTGGATTTGATTCTATGGAAAAATGTCTCGAGCTCAAAGGGTTAATATCATATTTGAATAAAATGATATATTTTTTATACTTCTATTATAGATTATGAAAGCTTCAGCATCTTACATGTCAGTACTACTCGCCATGTCTTGAAACGAAAAATCTGCAAGTATTGTATGTACATACGTATAGTTGACTGTGATCTAGAACTCGTAATTAAACTTTTTATTATTTCAATTAAAACAAGGGAATTATTCTTTGATTCTGTTATGAATGTTTTCGAAGAGACGTATGAGAGAGCTTGGCAACAAAGAGGAACTTTCATATAATATCCTATAATACGATAAATTACTTCATCTGGGATGTGCAACTCAATGGCACGAGGGTTTACGGTGAGCCAGGTACTAGGGCCACTATGATACGCGAAGACAGTGATGTCACAGAGCGAGTGCGTGGCATTGGCCATGAATTTAAAAAAATTAATTAAATTCTTGCTTATTCGCATTTATGCTAATATCTTTGAAACCATAAGAGATATTGAAACAATGTTAAATTGAAAATTTAATGGTTTCTAGCATTTTATAATATCGTATTAAGAAATCAAAAAAGAATTTATTTTTAATCATATTTCACTCAGGACGAATCTTTTCACCATCCGTTGCATAAAAATTGCGTTTGCAATTTTCTGGATGCTTTTATACTGTACAACTTTTATCTAATCAATTTTATTCTATCTAATATTAAATTTGATTTCCCGGCCAATATAGAAGCGTGTGTACTGTGTGCTCGATATCAAGAAAGTTCTCGATTAAAATTTGGAAAAATTATATATTCTTGATTGGATAAACGAATTTTAATTATCAAAACGTGAAATTGCCTGTCGTTAAAATGCACAATTTAAAAAAAATATCAAGTCATCGAAAGAGTATTATTCAGTTCATTTTCGCGAAAAAATATACAAAAAGTTATCTAATCTGCTAAAATTCGTAACTCCTTTAATAATGAGCATTTTGGATTAAAACCTTTCTTCGTTGTAGATCTCATGGAACCCTACGAAAAGCATATAGAAAGTTTTTCTCTAAAGTGAAAACTCAAATTTAAAAAAATGATAGAAAAACTTTTCTTAAGAATTCGAGACTTACCCCGTCGATTTTGATTGAAATGTAAAATTGTCTATAAAAATTATATTTCACTTCGCCGGACAAAACGAAGCATATTTCATTAAATAACATGTAGGACTTCTGTTATTAGGTGTAGAATTTAATTATGTGGCTTTCTAAGGTATATTTATAAACAAATTTATAAAACTTTTTATTTTCTCTCAATCGCACATTCCAAGAGAGTGTATATCAATTGGTAAACAGAATAATTAAACAAACTGTGTGTTTCATTCCTATCTAACGTAAGAAAATGCAGAGTAAATATTGTTATTTAAACTAGAGTTATAAATAATTGTGAATAAAGGCATTGATTAATTTCTACACCTAATAATAATTGTCCAATACACTCGTAATCTGTTCGAAGACCAACAATAAGCAAAATTTGTTATCTACTAAACTTCATACAAATAAATTGTATTGTCCATCAGGTTGAGACAATTGAATAACTGTCTTGGGTTCAAAGATACGTAAAAATGTTTGTAACAAAATTTGAAGGTTATCACCTACCAAATTTCATGCAAAAAAACTTTTCTTCCCAGATCTTTTTTTTCAAAGTTATCAAGGTCACTGCTATTTGTTTAAATGAAACTAAATGTTTTTTTATTTAATATCATGAAAGGGTTCATCGAGACAAATTCAACGATGTATGGCACACGTAGTTTATTCGAAACAGTTTATTATTTATTTAATAAATCGTGACGTGTATGCGATCCTTTGAGAAAAATATTTTAAACAAAAATCGAAACTTTTCGGTGTTTGTACGGATTTGCAAGTTTTCCAGGAAACCTGTGGCATTGGCGGCGGCGACGACTTCCCCGGGCTGAGCGAATTGGTCTCCATGGAAACCACCCCAAAGCCAATCTGGGGTGCATTCGTACGTACATTTACCCTTGTCGAGGTGCGTCTGCAGCACCCCTCCATGCCCCCGACCCTCTCCATAAACCTGATCCCCCTCCCCGCTTGGCCGCCGTCCCCTCCTCTTCTGTATTGTACCGCCGCTCTTCGTCGCGGATTATCTTTCTCTCTTTGACCTCCGCCATCTTCCTTCAAGCCTTTCTTCGACCGTCTCTTCCTATTTCATTTCTTCGTCTCCGTATCATATCTTATTTTTCCCACCGTTCACTTTATTTCTGTTTAGAGCCACTTGGCTCTCTATCATTCCCTTATTCCTATTTTGCTTTGGTCGGGATTAACTATCACACTCACGATCATCTACTCTGCGACTAAGTTATTGATACACATATGAGTCGTGTAATTCTGCATTTTCTATATTTTTAGAGGATAATGTAGAATTAATATAGCACAATGTAAATAAATGTTGAAAGTTAAGTTCATGCTATCATATTTGCAGGGTTGAATAAATTCTTATTTAGGTTCAGTTTATGTGTTTACTCGCAAGAGATTAAATAAATGTGAATTACTGAATTGTAATTAACACTTTGGCGACAGGTAGTGGTTCAACATCC